TCTAATTGATAAATTAATTTTTTTTAAATATTCTTTCTTTATTCTTTCTTTCTTTTTTTTTTTTTTTTTTTAATTCTCAAATGTTATTCAGTGACCTTTTTCTGATGTTGAATAATTTTCTTTTTTAATTTTAATTTTAATAAAAATTTATTTAGCAAATAAAAGTTGTTCTGGTGATTATGCATTTACATATTTATCGGATCGTTACATGGATGTTCGCGAAATTCGTGAAGTAATACGAACTAAAACACTTGAGGATTGCTTAAGTGCATGCTTGGATGCAACAAGTTATGCATGTCGTAGTGTATCTTATAATCGTACTGATGGTGATTGCTTCTTATCACAGCATAATCAACTTAGTAAACCAGCATTGATCAAAATTAACAACAATCCCAATTATCGGATTGATTATTATGAAAATAGTTGCACGAACAGTTAGTTCATTTAATTCATTTATTAAAATGAATAAATTATAAATGATTGAAATTTGGAAAAAAAAGAAAAAATTCACTAACTTTTTACTTAACATTTAATCTTTCTTTTTTTTTTAATTAAAAGTACAATTAATTATTATTATTTTTTTGCCATGTAATACTAACAAACTATTTCATATCATTGAAAATACATTCTCACTTTTTTTTTCTCACAATATTTAATTTTAAACTATTATTGAAATAGGAAAATAAGAAGTCATAGTTTAGTTGCAGATTCATTCACATTTGATTACGAGTGCAAAGATGATGGAATACAAGTGAAGGTCATTTCCAAGTATCCATACACAGGTGCCATGTATGGCCTTTATGACTTTTTCACATGTCGCATTGAACCAAAAGAAGATACAAAATTTGAATATTTCTTCCCATCACCAACCATTTCCAAAAATTGCAGTGATAGCATACGTTATAAGGTAAATTAAATTTTTTTTCCTATAATTTACAAAACTTCAAGTAGCAGTCAAAATAAAATTTGTTTAATTAAGTAAACAAAAAAAAGAAAAGTTTGATAAAAAAAATGATTATTATCATTTGATGTTGTAAGATTTGAATAGAAATATAAATGATAATAAGTGAAATTTGATAAGTGATATCGATATCTGTATCTGTAATATTCAATTATTTGAAATTATTCGTAAAATTTGTCATTAAAAGTTCTCAAACAAAAAATTTACTTTAACATAATTATAGGGAAGAGATATGGTATTGGAAATAGTTATATCAACAGATGGTGTTGAACCATTATATTTTATAACACCTGATGATCTTACCTATCAAGCTCGTTGTCCATTAAATGATGCTAAACGTTTAGGCCAAAATATGGATCATCTTTCTAACCTTAAAAGGTTATCATTATTTTAAAAATTATCATCTGATAACAATTAATCGAATAAATATATTTGCTTGTCATATTTTTGCACTAATTAAAAAAAGAAAAAAAAAAAAAAAAAGGAATTGCTTTATGAAATAGCACTATTATAAATTAAAAATATTGTACACTTTTTAAAATTATACTTTTTTTTCTTTCATTATATCGCATGCATTTCACTTTAATTAAATTATATAAATGAATGAATTAAATTTATTA